TTACATTTTAGAATAGAATGACATATAGTATTGTTAATGTCCAGTTGACTGATGGTCAGGTCAAGAAATTAAAATCAAAGTCGGCTAAAGAATGTGGAACTACAATAACGCTGAAACCCACTCAAATGTCCGGTGGTGCACATAAATTATCATTGACAGATCGTCAAATAAAACATTTTAATGATGCGCTAAAGAACAAACGAGGAGTTCAAATTGATTTTTCGAAAGCAGCAATCGCCAGTATGATAAAATCAGGTGGTATATTTCCGCTGTTAGCTGCTATTCCAGCATTGATTGCAGCGGCTGCCCCAGCGGTTGCGAAGGCGGCAGCGTTAGGAGCCGTTGGTACTGCTGCAGGAATGGCCCTGAAAAAAGCTACTGGGAATGGCTATAAAAAAAAGGGAAACGGTCTAAGACTACCAGGAACCCCATACAATTGGTACAAGGGCACGGGCCTAAGAATACCAGGAACGGCTTATTAGTGGAAAAATTCCTTGGATTTTCATCAATGTCCAATTTTGATTTAATTGATGCTGTAAAATCGTTATCAATAAAAAAACTTTAGAGGAGGTTTCATGACAGATCAATTACCGTCAAAACCAATGAAAAATGAAACGGGTATTATCAATCTTGATAACAGCAGCGGAAAAGGAACTCATTGGGTCGCATATGCAATTGATCCACGTGGAATTGTATATTTTGATTCATATGGTTTAGCTCCACCAAAAGAATTCATGCGATATATATCCACAATAACAAAATCATCTCCAATTTTTTATTCCACGCTACCAACACAACGGTTAAATGATCCACCGATATGCGGTCGTGAAGTATTAAACATCCTTGCAGAGATATCTAGATTTCCAAGGAAACCACCACAAGTTGTTGTTAATGAATATACTAGCGGGCAATGGCAAAAACGATAGCGTTATGATTTAGAAAAACGTTAGCGTTTTCGTATAATGATTGATATTTGGGGACAACCTTTATCAGAGTAAAAAAAACAGAAACCGATAGTAAATTCGCTGTCAAAAATGTAAAAAAAATAATCGAAGATGAAATCGCCGAGACATTAAATTTGTCAAGTGTAGATCCTGGGGAAATAGTTGTATTTCAATATCGGCAGGGCAAATTGAAATCTAGTAATGTGTCATTGGATGATATCTTAATACGAAGACGTGACGTCGTTGAAGATACAATAGTGTTATATTCCAATGATGGAAAACTCAAACCGGGGATATTTGTTTCGACGATCACGGATAAACTAACAACAGTAGATAGCACAGCAAACGCGTTAAAATCACTCAATGATGAATATAACAATCATAAAGCTGAATTTAATAAATTGTATGAAGTACAAAAGTCAATCGTAGACAAAATCGACAAACAGCTGATAGAATTCCTTGGAAATCCACCAGTAACCACACCGAATATTGCAGAGATAAAGGCATCTATGTTGGAAATTGCAACATTTCAATTAAGATATGAAGAACACGTAAAACAGTTTTCAACATTCCGTAAAAACATCCTTGATAAATTTTTGGAAGGTCCACTTGATAAAATAGATATCAAACTTCCGGATATTAAAAAATCCATCGAAGAAATACCAGCGATTAATCAGCAATTGGAAGCAATCAACACGGATATTACAACGTTCAAAAACAATCTTCCGCTACTTGAAAAAATAAAGATTCCTCATGAGAGGAATATCATAAATATGGTATACACAGTTCTCTCTGGATCATTAGATTGGGAACCTAAAAAGAATACAATAACTCTCATTGTGTCAAACAAGGGTATTTATCGATTAACAATAGTGTCACTGAACCAGTTTAATATATCATCATCGACTTCATATGGATACAACAACGTGATTTCAACGACTATTGACGTGGGTGAATACAAACGGTTTACAATAACAAGCACTGATCCTAATTTAAATAAGACATCATTTGTATGGTACATGGAGTTTGTAGCTGATCTAAATTAGAATTTTTAACAATTAGAAACCACTTGAGATTTTAAAATAATATGATTCCGTCATCGCAATATCGCTATGTTACCGTCAAAGAGTTTTTAACAAAACTCAAAACACTCATTGATGAGTATGAAATAAAAATTAAAAAGTATCGCAGGAGAATTACCGCAATTGATGTTACAGTATACTCGGTATCTGGTATAATGGCCGGTGCTGGTATTATACTATCTTCAGTAACAATGGTAGCTCCGATTGCTGTCTCAATTGCTATTTCCGCGGTGACAACATTTGCTGGAATTGCAAATGCTATTACTAAAAAAATATCATCGTGTTCTCAAGAAAAACTTAACGACTATATAGTAAAACATCAAGCAGTATCTAACGGTTACTCACAATTATCCTCGTTGATGTCATCATCGATTGATGATACCATAATTACCGAAGACGAGTTCTCCGCGATGATACGTATTTATGATACTACGATTAAAAACGCTAGCGTTTTTTCATCTATTGCAAAATTAGACATTGTAAATAATAATAATAATAATAATAATAATAATAATAATAATAATAATAATAATAATAATAATAATGTCGCAAGAGATTCTACTACTTCAGCGGATAGCAGAAAATACCACTCCGCGGAAAACAAGCATGATATCAATATCATCAACAAACCCTAAATTCAGTGTGAATTTTCCTTCCCCTGTTTCAGTAAAGGAAATCGCGTTGGCAAAATTACGAGTGTATCATAGTTGGCCTAATATTAGATCGGTTCCATTTGGTGGTCAGAGATCTAATAATTCTTTGGTGTTTGCATATAGGAATAAAAAAAGATGACACTCCAGATTGGAACGTTGTTTCAATACCAACTGGGTCCTATCAAATTGAGCAAATTAATAATGAATTACAACGTAGAATAAAATCCATTACTAGAAGGGAATCAAATATTGCTATAACAGTTCATGAACCAACACTATCATCTACAATTGAAATAGGCTCCCCTGGGTATGTTGTAGATATTTATAACATTTCAATAAGAACAGTATTAGGATGGCCCGAAGATCCACCTAGAAGTGCTGGTAATTCCACGCCCGAGCCTGTAAAATCTGATTACGTCACTGATGAAATAGGACCTGAAAATCCATCAAAAACTTATAAAAAATTCGAGGATATAAACTTCACAAAAAGATATCGATATAAGGATCAATATGGTGAGGATGCATGGATAATTCCACTTTTTAATGATTATATTATACGAGAGGACGAAATTTTGGAAATGCATGATACAAGTCCAACATTTGTAGATATTAAAAATCACATCCTTCCTTGATAGAATGAATAATGATTTTTTGTTGTTATTACCCTCGTTAAGATCTGGCCTTCTTACACAAGCTGAGTTTACTAGTGTAGTCGCTGCGGGTAATAAAATCATCGATGACATGGAAATATTTAATTCGAGGATTACTAATCATTTTACTGATGAAAATTCCCCGATTTCAAGAACTAGTTCCGCCCGAGATTATAAAAAAAAATATAAATGAAAATCCAAATTATAAACTTCCAGGATATAACGCACCTGAACTAGAAAATCAACTCAGAACTGCCATCAATGAAGGATTTAATAAAATTCATCAATCATGGAAAGATAGCCAGCCGAAGCCTATTATCCTCACTCATAATAATTCTCCCGACGGCGACGGTAGACATATCGCACCGAACAATGTGGATATTTCATCAGTGATCGCGCTTAATTTAACGTGTGATGTAATCGAAGGAAGTTATCAAATTAATATGGAACAATCAAATCAAGCCCTACAAGGTTACATTCTTTATTCATTTGCACCAACAGCTCCTCCAGGATTTTTAATTGTTGAAAATTCGACTAATCCAGTCTATATGCAATGTCAAAATGATTCGCTAACTAGAATTAATTTTACACTCACCGATCAGTCAAATAATTTAATTGATCTACGTGGTGAAGTATTATAATGGATTAGTCTGTTTGTGAAAAGCTAACAAATAATTGGTTAAATAATTTGTATTAACCCTGAAATCCTTTTAACAGCAGGGAGGGCGAGATGACAACATTTTTGCGACGTAGATGATAGCAATTTTGAGGGTGGTTATGACAATGTATTTACGACAAAATCGCTAAGGCTCCATTTGTAAAATGGGGTCTTTATTTTTTTGGTTAAAATATGAGATTTCGTAAGAAGGCTCCATTTGGCATTCTGAGGCTTTAATCGATTTTGTCGCAAAAATTTGTAGAGTTCACACACACACACCCCCCTGCTGCTGCGTGGGTATGTAAGAAACCTTGCCAGTAACTTCTCCTGGGTCGATGGTTCTTTCCGGATTCTTTCTTAAGCAAATATATTGGCCGCATATTCTGTGCTGAAAAAAATGACGTTAATTCTTTCGAAACTATTTAATCTAGGTGCTATAAAAAGGCAAGTGCTTTCTATGGTAACCACTATCTGTTTAGTCTAAATAATTTTCAATTACAACCGAGTGCCCTTCAGGTTAAATAATGATAATAATGATAATAATTATGCAATTATTTAGAATTTTTAAAAATTCTCCAGCAAATGTCTAAATAATTTAAATTGTAAAAGTCAGAAAAATGAGCTGACAAATTACATATACACTAATTAGAATTGCCTGCTATTAGATAAATAGAAAGATACGGCATTTTGTAGTTTCCAGGCGATTATGCAAACATTATATATCTTGCACATAATAAATTTAGACTAATGTATATATTTTTATAATACATTTTTAAACTTAACTTTTTATCGGCGCTGTACAGCCACAATGCTCTGACATGCCGTTTAACCACATACATACATACATACATACATACATACATACATACATACATACATACATACATACATACATACATACATACATACATACATACATACATACATACATACATACATACATACATTTGGATTCTTAACGTAACTTAATGCTGTTCACCAAGCAAGGCAACTGTCAGTACCATTTTTGTAGACGGCTCCGATGGCCTAGTGATTAGAGCGTTCGCCTCGAATGCGGGAGGTGGCGGGTTCTATCCCGCTCGGCCGCGTTATACCAAAGACTTATAAAAATGGTACTAACAGCTGCCTCGCTAGGCACTTAGCATTAAGAGGTTAGTGTTAGGACTGGTCGACTTGGTGACAGAATAAAGTGAATTGGTGTGACATAATACTACATGTCTACGGCATCACTATAAACTGTCACACCGCACACATTATAGCGATATGACTGAACATGTTTTAAAGCTACATTACAAAATCCAAATCGCACAAAAACACCCACACGCACCAGTTTTATAAATCTTTGGAATTACTCGGCCGAGGTTTGAACCCGCGACCTCCCACATTGTGCATCAATATTTATCTTAGCTATTCACTACTACAAGGCCTCACATGAAAGACATGGAGAATACAATCCACTCATCTGATTCCCACAATAAACAGTTAACATTTTGAGGGCAAATTGTCACAATACGCACTGTATAGTCATTGATACTGTACCATTGAATGAGCATATGGCAGTGGTGGCTCAGTTGGTAAGGTGCGTGACACGCGCTAAAATGGGTGTGGCTCCAGATTCTTCCTTCGGATCAGCCAGAGTCAGTTACCAACGATTCGGCATCATTTTGGTATTCTGTGCCATAACCAAACGAGTCTTAATTCCAATTGCACTGGTCTGAAATTGCCTTCTGCGTAGGCTAAAATGTATATAACAGGGATAAATCTATGCAATCGAGAGCTTAATGCAAAAACGTATACTACATAAATGAGGTATACAATGTAGGTTACTGTGACATTCTTTGGTTATAAGGGTGTAGGACTGACATACATTTATCAGCTTATCAGGTTTGATGGTTTAAACATAAATAGCACCTAATAAATGAACTTCAAATTCAAAATATCAACACAGTCTCTTTAATGTCCTATTTAGGTCGGTTATAAGCAAACCTCAAAAACTTCGACCCAGTAATTCGTGAACCGTAGGTCATTTTGAGTTTCTTTTGTTGTAAACGAGTACAAACAGAGTGAATTAATATAATATACCCTGCGTCGACATTCATCTAAATAAATCATTTATAGCATGAACAGTCTTGAATAGACTTGAAGCAAAAAAATTAGCCCAAATTAGTGAACCAAGGAACAAGTTTACTGATGAGAATGTACAACTCATCAAAATAATCCTCTTTCTAAGTTTCACGACTCTAGATTCAACAATATTCATAAAGTATGCAATGAACAAAATAAATAAAAAGAACTAACGCAAAATGTCAGCTAAGAGTGAAACATGCGTCACAACGTGTATTCATTAAACCTGAATTAAAGGCAAAGACCAGATCAATTAGGTACAACTGATGTACATGTGCTAAATGGCCACCTCAAAGCCCTCTCCAGAAGGGGGTAGGTGCTATAGAACCCAATCCTATATGCCACATAGGACATTATATTTGCTGACGTCAATGTCGACGCAGGGTATATTATACTAATTCACCTGTACTTCCCACAGGTGAACCAAATAAGAGATAGATGTATAAAACAGTAATTTAGCAGCTTATTATGTGTCATAAATTATCAGCCAAAGACACGCTTGTATCCAGTATTGACGCGTGGTAGGAATCTAACCCAGCCAATTAATCTAGCATTGACGCAAAACTCAGACATTAAACAAATTTTGTGGAAACACTGTAAATCTTTAAAAGATACAAATAAAGAAAAGATCATTCAGAGTGGATATAATGTATGTGATAATTTACTTTTGAGGCAGACTTCTGTAAAAATACAATTACTAATGGCAAATGATATTTGATGATATTTAATGGCAAATGATATTTGATGATATTGCCATATAAAAATCAAGCATTTCTTAAAGCAAGTGAATGTGTAAAGAAATTTAAGCAGTGGGTCGCATCTGATTCATAAAATGCTATATTTTGAGTGATATAAAAGGAGGATCATATATATATATATATATATATATATATATATATATATATATATATATATATATATATATATATATATAGAGAGAGAGAGAGAGAGAGAGAGAGAGAGAGAGAGAGTTATTGGACACAAGTCTTTTCTTGGTGATGCAGAATGTTGCTTTCACAAACGAAAAATATTTAAAAGAAATTAACAATTTTCATGAATAGTTTAGCACTATTGTGCAATATATCTAGTTTGATCTAGTTTAATATAAACAGGGTAAAGGGGATCCTTCACATGCATCAGTGTAGGAACATTCCGCTTGAGTCAGAATTTTGTCAAGGTCAAGGCTTTGATAAAATTCTGATCCAGAGGATGAAATGTTTATATCCATCTCCTATGCATAACGAAGGTTTTATTCTCACAATGCTGGAGTAAATTTGAATATAGATGTCAATACTGCATATTGTGAACATTATTGCCACTTTAAAACATATACAAGCATTGAACATTACCTCGCTTTATGAATGAGGTAATAGTTTTAAAACCATTGACCATTACCTCGCTTTATGAGTGAGGTAACATGTTTACAACCATTGAACATTACCTTCCTTTATGAATGAGGTAGTATGTTTACAACCGTTTAACATAATTCGTTTTATGAGTGAGGTAATATGTTTACACTGAAAAATTATGTGTGAGCTTCCAATGCTGTTTAAAGACTCAATATGAGTGTTCAAACTGGAAGGGGGGGGGAGTCGCGGTAATGGCAATAAAAAGCATCGGAAGTGAATACTTAGATGGATTGCGCAATGTTGCAAATATAAAGTGACAAGTCCACTCTCATCTCAAACATTCCAGATAGTCAAATATAATTATATGGCTTCGATCAAACTAACCTAAAATCGAATTTTATTTCATAGGTAATAATGTTTAATAAAGAAAATTATAACTCACATTGACAATAACTGCCTTTTCGACTCAAAACCAGATACATAACCTGTATACGTAGCGAGGTCGATCAGTACAAAGCTTCCTGTTTTTGTTTGTAGGACACCTACTTCAACTGCTATGCTACACGTTTTTGCAGTAATATGATGCAATTACTGTTCGTCTTCATTACTGTGAAAGCATGCTCAATCAACGGTGTCTGCAAGTCTGTGTTCGCTATGACCGCAGTAGAAGGTTGTAGGATAAAAGATAACAGTCACGTGATGAATAATATACGTGTGTCTCGTCATTGTTTTATACTGGAAAACACGATCATAAACAAAAAGTTGTTATTGTTGTTTGGGTTTATTGCCACTTTTCGTGATATACATGGTGGTCAGCATAACTGGTGAAGGAAGAACCCAGGAAAACCCTTGTAAGAACCACTGACCAAGGGAAACTACTTAACAAAGTTTCTTACCTGCTTACATTGGCCGATCTCGACACTCAACCCACGCGAATAGAGGTGAAATAGAGTGATCGGTAATGGCGATCACTTTAGACCACTCGGCCACTCGAGACCCTCGGGGAAGTATGAATGTGAGAAAGAAAGTTCTTGCATGAAATGAAAATGATCAAAACATATACAGAATATAAAGTACATGCGATTAACAATGCGGGGGAGGTACGTCCACCAGATTTAGCGCTGGAAGATAAAATGCTGGTGGGCAAAGAGCAACTTCCAACAGACTAGATATAAAATTGTTTTTCTGACGACCGACATTCCCGGCAGAATGTTACGTATGACATTAAATAGAAATAAAAGTATATGGAACTGCTGTGGGAAGTGCTGAAATTAACTTGCTTAAAAGAAATTGCGACGAAAAAGGGTTTTTTTGGAATAATAATAATAATAATAATAATAATAATAATAATAACAACAACAACAACAACAACCACAACAACAGCAACAATGAAGTAGGTCACGAAATTTTGTGAAGCAGAATTAGGGATCAAATTATTATAAAAAGAAAGAAAGACTGAAGTTGTAATGTTTAAAGTTTGACCACCATCCTAGTTCTACATTTGTTTATAATATTATTTACTTGAGAAATTTATATTTGTTGCCTTAACATTTTGAAGCAGAATCAGTCGTATTGTTGTTTTCAGTTTTTCATATAAGTGGAATTATTTATTCAAAATATTATTCACTGAATATACAAAGTCATCAATAACAAATTTGGACAAGAAAATTAATTTGGAATTTTAGTGTATTCAGACAAGGAAATTCTTTGACTATATTTCTGTGATACATTAAAAGATTGTCAGTACATAATCACACTACAGGCAATTGGAACATTACTACGTCCAAGACCACTGGTACCTCAACACTCATATTGAAACTTATTAATTATTTGGAACACAATCGGAATTCAGTTTGAACATATACACAGTGCATAAATAATTTTTGTTTAACTTAATCGCATCAGTAGAACACTTTTCTTTCCATGACAGTACTTCAGTTAATTCATATTTTCAGTGAATTCATATTTATTGGAATTGGCATCTTGAATACTATAACCATGAAAGAAAATGAATCTTTGTCTAAGAAAGCTAAAATCAAGTGGCTTTAACCAAGAAGACTCCAAGACCCCCACGCAAATAAAATCATAATCTGTTTAGAGCACATACTTTGATTTTACATTAATTTGTTAATATAGTATATTAATTGTTCATAAAATTATAACTGCTGCCGTTTAATTAATACATGCTGGTATTATTATTATTATTATTATTATTATTATTATTATTATTATTATTATTATTATTATTATTATTATTATTATTATTATTATTATTATTATTATTGTTGTTGTTGTTGTTGTTGTTGTTGTTTTGTGGCATTATTGCAATTACATAAACACATTATTCAGCATATCAGCTAAAGTTTATCACTTTATATTAAACAAATAGATGGCACTCCTTGAGTAGTTTGTAACCAATTAGGTTACCATTTTATAATCAAAGAATGAAGGGGCGACATCGAAAATTTAAACAGCAATCTATTAGACACGCAATAATAGAATAACTTGTTAATTGAAGGCGTTCTTTAGTTTATTGTTGGTAACTGTTTCGTAATTGCCTTCGAGAAAGACTTGATGAGAGTCGTAAACGCTGGCGCTAGTAAATGCTATTTTT